CCGGAAGAAGTGGCCAAGTCAAATACTCTGTGTGTGTGTCATTTTTAAACTAAACTTCACTTCATGTATTTATCAATATCCTTGGCCAGGTATCAAAGATTATGTACAGTTCTTATTACTTGCACGGAAAAGTGCAACAAAGACGATGTATTTTTCTATAACTTACCTCATCTACGGAAGTGAAAAAGATGTAATATTATATACTTCTTTAATTCAATTATGGTTATAACGTGGTATCTTTAAGGAATAACTGTCTTATTTTTCGAATTCATGAAGTGATCAATGGATTGGCTTGTGTGATAATTTGCATAAACGCCGAAGGCGTTTATGCATAAAATTATCACACAAGCCAATCCATTGATCATCTTCATGAATTCGAAAAATCTGACAGTTATTCCTTATATTTACATGCTTTGATTCCGCCAATCCACGGGCTCCAAGCCTGCTTCTGTCTAGGTGTTGTCCCGCCTTGCACGTGTTTTTTTTTTTGGAACCGCGCCAAAACATTCATGAGGAAATCAATTACATTTACATTTGGTAATTTTATCTCGGACAAAGACATTGGAAATGTAAATATTATTGGATAAAGAAATTACTTTTTATTGCATAAAAAATTGGGTTACCTATGTCACAATCACTTGCGTAAAAACACATTGATCCGCCTGACATTATTAGTTATCCAGGTTCAATCAAGGGTGTACGGGGATTTACCCCGGGTTGTATTCCATACACCCTGAGGCCGAAGGCCGAAGGGTGTATGGAATACAACCCGGGGTAAATAACCGTACACCCTTGATTGGACCTGGATAACGAATTTATTTCCTTTGTGCCCATAAAAATGCTTTGTAAACATGATTTTTAGCTTTTATCATAGAGAATGTATGCATTGTGACGTCACGTTTATTTACACCCGGCTCAAGTCGGGTGCACGGATATTTACACCCGACTTTGTAACCAATCAAAGCTCGTGTTACAAGCTAGATAGGAAATAAAACATTTTAATGTCGTACAATTTTTGTACGATTTTTTTCTTATATAAACCACAGCGTTATAAATTGGGTAGCTAAGAGAGGTAATTCAGGTCAATTTTCACTGCATTGCTATTTTAAAAAAGATACCTCACCAAGTTTAATGCTCCTGCTTAATTTTTCTTGCATGTGCATCACGATAAAAAAGCAGCTTGAATTCAAAAATCTTTAAAAACTTGTTTGTTTGACATTCTAAGATGAACCGACTAAAATCGTTTAAAACCTCCAAATTATTCATTCCGGAATTTTCTCATCCAATCAACAACAATTTTTTTTTTATTTCAGAAACGCCTTCATTCAATATTGAACATTTCCGACAAAAAAATTCGACCTACCTACCGACGCATTTTTTTTAAAGTGAATAGAAAGACGGCAAACAAACTCCATTTTAAAAACGGCCTTACGGGATTTTTTTAACCATGCACTGGATATCTTTAAAAATATACTCTTAATAAATTTTGTGAAAAGGATACTTCACACAGATACTTGACGGAGAATAACTTCTTAAAGAATAAACTAAATCAAACCACACTCAAGAATCTTTTTCAGCATATAAATAAAACAACATCCCCTTGTTCTGCAGGGGAGAGTTTTTTTTCTCGAGGAGGCGTTTTTACGTCGCTTTTACCTTTTTGACTTTAGACGCGTCTTTTGACGTTACGTCATAATAGAGATAAGGGAGGTTTTTGCTTGGCGCGTCACATTTGGCATTCGAACCACATGAACTTATGGACAGCCCCTCCCCTTCCCCGGACTCTCTTATAAAGTAAAGTGGATGTTTTTTGTAACACAAATGTATATTTACACGTTCGTTCAGCTTTTTTGTAGAAAGTCATCATGTCGTAAGTTCTATAGTTTTATGGTCGATATGATGACCTTGTCAGCAATACAATTTATCTTTGAGTCAAATGCTGACTGACCTTTTCATACTAATTGTTAGTCCATTATTTACACACTTAATTGACGACGGCTATTATAGCTACGTAGGTATTTAAACCTACCCAAAGTACTAAGCTATTTAATTTTACCTATTTTCTGCTTTACTTGCATTTTGTGGCGCAATTTGGTGAGTACAAAATTTCTTGATACAGTTACACTGATGATGGATATGACAAAAATTTGACCAAAAATGATTACTTCGTAAATTAACAATTTTGCATAGAAACTAATGTAAAATTGCCGATTTACGAATTGTCATTTTTTGCCAAAATTTTGTTGTGTTCACCATTATTGTGACTGTATCAAGAATGATAAGTATCAAAATGCCCCTGTATTCACAAAATGCAGATTATACAAAAAGTATGTAAAATAGCCACTTTGAGTAGGTTTGAATACCTACGTAGCTATTAATAGCTACGTAGGTAGAAATAGTCTTTGGAGTGGACCTGTCGGAGGTCCGTGTTGCTCTGATCCTATTTCGTATTTTAATGGACTTTTGATATTGAATACTGTTCGTTATCCCCATAATATTATATTTCCATCCTAAGATTTCTGTGGTGCTTACAGAGAATGCATGTGACATTAACACTTTTTCCACACTTTCAAATGTAAAATTTACACTTGACTCTTTTGTAATTTATACTATGATTTACATTTTAATATGTATATAAAATTTACATTTTATTCTGAAAATCGTACACTTTATCCTGTAAAAATAAATGAGATTCAATGCAAGGATAGCTCGCTCTCTAAAATGTCTAAAGAATTAGGGACCAACCCTTCCCCCAGCAAATTAACAGAAAAACATGTTCTCAGAAAATAGAGGTGGAGATCACACACACACACCCTCACCCTCCCTCACACACCCTCTCCCTCCTATAACATTACTGTGAATAGTGGTATGTTACCTCAAATTTGGTGGTTTGCCTTTATACTATGCACAGCAAATCCCTCAAACTCCTCGAACGTGAAGTCCGGGCTGTTAACTGTCACAGTTCAATGGATCGCAGTATGGAAAGATAATTCTGAAATGCAGTTACCTGCCCCTAATTGAGAATCCTAATCGAACACGTCAATAATTGGTTCAAACATATTTCTCAGAATGAACAAAATTTTGTTTGACCAGCCATGAGAAAAAAAAATAACAAAATACTGTAATAAATTAAAGTACATAATTTTAGTTTAATTAGTTTCTCAGAAAACCGGAAATGTCATCTTTTTTTGTTTCATTAACATCAAGGCATAAATAGTGGAATGTGACATTTTTTCAGCTAGCCTTTGACCTGGTTGGGAATTAATCTAAATGATGCCTTAACTACAATGTACAAGAAATTGTGAAAAGTACACAAACACGCAATTGTTCTTCCTGTCTTCTTTTGTCTTTATGTGAAAGGGAAAAAATACTATTTTGAAAACGCTGAGATAAAATTAATCATCTAAAAATTTACTCAAAAGATATTCACTTAACCGACCCAGAATATTTAGAATTTTAAAGAAATAAACAGGAAATACACAACTAATTTTGGTAGATGTATGATCTCCCGACTTTCTTCATTAACCATCGATATAATCAGGTTATTTCTGTTTCAGAATTTTTTTCAAGATTTTTTTTTTACAGTCTTGTACAACTATGAAATTAAAATTGTATTAAAACTTGTCAAACAATGTCGCAGACATTAATTAAGTCCTGGGTTATGAAACACAGTGGATCATAGCTGCAAAATGTAGTGTTATGGATCAACTAGCTAGTGTTAGTTTTTGACCATAACGCTATATAGAAATCCCGTAATGCAAATATCAAAGACTATAAATCCATTACGCTACAGTTCTGCAGCTACAGAGTCCCTTGACTTGGGGAGATGATACATCCGAGTCAACACGCATAATCTTCCTTCCAACGGTTACTTATCAGTGCTTCTGTAACCTTCAATCTAAATGGGGTCATCCATGAATATTAGGCGTCGGAAGCAAATTTAAAGGGGGTGGGGGAGGGGCTAAACCAACAAAAAAGGTAAACCCCAATTTTCAATGCCTATATTATGTATTTGCAAAAAAGTGGGGATTCGACCCCCCCCCCCCCCCCCCCCCCCCCCCCCGGTTCCGACGCCTATGTCATGGGTGTTTATTATTTTTTATTTAATATGATTACTTGTCAAAATAATGATTGCCAGTTTTAGATTGAAATTTAATAAATGATACATGTATATCTAATGCGTGAAAAGTTTTGCAAATGCTTGGGATTAAGATGTAGTCCAGTTTAAAGCACTAATATGGTTAAAATAACATCTCAATTAATTTCTCATTCATTTGCTCTTTATTTCCTCTAAAAATAAATGAAGAAATTTGCATGAAGAAAGAGTTACACCGAGGTGAAAAATCTATTCAATCCAGACAGGGACACATACTTCGGAATCTGCCCCTGGGATTTTCAGATCTTGTCCTTAATTAAATTTGTGTGGAAAAGCAAAAAAAAAAAAAAAAAAAAATAATAATAATAATAATTGGATCTTTCCTACAGAATTCATTGCTAAAAGAATTATTTATAAAAGAAGACATTGTCAAATAAAAATGCCCTTGGACTCGGGATGTATATTTTGGGCTGGGGCTGTGTCCTCTATACAAGCATCTATGATTGTATCTAAAGGTCAAAGCCATGTGAATATATCAGGTAGGTCTATGGAACTGTCATTAATTTCAACATGAAATATATCTTAAAATAAAGTTCGAACTTTATTTGAATTGTTGTACATGTATAACGGTAAATGGTTTGAATTGTCCAAATATTCAGCAATTTTTTTTAAATTTTTATTTTTGGATGTACAGGCATTGCTTCTTGTATATTTATGCTTTACTGCAGCTTTGGAGCAAAGGCACAGTGAGGGACTTGGCCCTCAATTAATTCTTTAGCCTATAGTATACAATCTACCTTTCATATAAAAACTACAAAACTGTCTTTATATTGTTTAAGCTTATTTTATTGATTTTGAGAAAGAATAATTTATTAATAACAATATATGTTGCAGTAACAACCCTTATTTTTAACAAAATGCATGCAGTTCATGTACACATTAACAAATGATTTAAACTAAAAAAAAAAAAAAGAGTATATCATCCAAAATATCTCTATTGCCAAAAAGAAAATAAGACTGAAATCTTTCCTGGATTCTATGCATTGCTCTTTGCAAATAAAATAAAAAATAAATGAAGTATAAAAAACAATTAAAATTATGAACATTTTTCAAAAATTATAAAAAAAAAATGAAGAAAAAAACCAAGACATTGTAACTGATGGGGTGTGTGATTTTTTTGCCAATCAAATCAAAAGTTTGTGAATGGTACTTTTTAAATTCTGTATCACTGTACTTGCTTAAAGCACAGGCTTTACAGAACATTCATGAACCTCATTTTAAACTACTTAATAATTTTTACAGGATTTGAAATGTAAGCTGAGCGACATTGCACTCTAACCATCTATCAAGTCTCTCTCTCACTCTCTTTCTCTCTCACTTTCTCTCTCTCTAACAAAACTCAAAGCATGCCAAAAATAACAATAGCTTGTCAAACAAAACACATTTCAACATTTAAAACATTGCAGTGTACCATTTTTTAAATGAACATGTCCTCCTTTCAAACGATCAATAATACATGTACCTGGATATTTTTAATTGTTACTGTAGTTTAATTTATGAAAATCATTCTCAAACACATACAAACATGTATCAATATCGTGATATTTTAATGTTTTCAATGATATAAAATAACAAATAGCAAATGAAAAAAAAATGATGAAATGCAGCTTCCTCAGTACAACCAAGAACACAATGACTCCATACAACCAAAAATCTCTTTCTCTCCTTAGGCCTTTATTTTTAATTTGCCACACAGAAAAGCCATGATCAGAGTTTTCTTTGGTGGTACAAAGCAGCTTGCATCAACAATGTGAATGGCCACTATCTAATATCTACACTGGTAAAAGTTATCTCCCTTTCCAAGTCCAGTCCTGTGTCATGACTTTGCCTTTATGAAAAAATTCTACAAATCCAATGAAAATCATAAGTCATACATTTGACACATTCTTTAATTAAATGTGCATCCAAAAATTATTTTTATACAAACGTGGAATACAAGTTTACTCATTAAGAATTGATTTATCTACTTTTAAGAGAAAAAATGGTATCATGTATAGTCTTTAATGTTTTTTTAAAGCTTACCTTTAAATATGTTCTAAAAGTTTTATAGTCTGTCTTTAAAGCTTCACAGAATTCCTGTATAAATGAAAAAAAACCAGATTTTTCAGGATGTTCTATATTTAAAATCTGCATTCTATATGTATAAATCAGTCCTGCTTGTTCATGTTACTGTATAGTTTTATAATGGAAGGCATTTACAGTTTATCAACTCGATATTTTTTTTTTTTACTTTACTGCACATGTAAGTACGGTAAAATTACCTGGACGTTTTCAGGAGGTACATTAAGTTTAGGCAGGTAATCCGTGGACAGGTAAGTTAAGAACTCCTGGCCCTGGAGAAATTTAAACGGTTTATAAAATATGTATACTACATGCAAATCTCCAGTTCTATTAAATCATAAATAACAAAAGAAGACAAATACATAGAAACTTACCCTTTTATCAACCATACTCTTCAGACAATGTGCACATTCTCCCAGTGCCTACAAAAATAATCTTATTTCAAAACTCCAAAACTCAATGACTCCTTACACGACAAAGGTTGCTCAATGATCCTCTTACTTAGCACTATATACATTTTTTTCTTGAAAACTCATTTAAATAAGCATATTTCTTAATATCAAAATTCAATCTTCAAAGAAAGAGAAAAAATTAACAAATCTGAAGGTGCATGTACAGGTGATTTTGTTTTTATTTTATGGTAAGGAGACAATTAACTTCTGAATAAAAAATTCTCACCAATGAGGTTTGTCCATCATTCAAATCAAATGTTGGTTTCATGGGACCAAGGAAGCAGGCAGGTAGGAAACTCTTATACATAAAATCCACAAAGCCCACCAACCCATTGTTTCCACCTGAAACAGGGGAATCAAATAAATTATGTACCAAGGTAATTCTAAGTAAGCAACAGGAGAGTGAATCGTGACAGGAGACATCACCCAATTTAATTAATATTTATTAATATGATCCATTTTGTTTACTGCAAAACGTACACTCAATTTTTATAAAGAAAGTGTCCATTATCATAGATAGTAAAGTTATATATACAAAATAACTTGTAATACATGTTATGTTTTTAATGCACAGTGGCACTTATAATAGTATAAGACAAGGAAGAAAAATAGACATTGAAGCAAAAAGAGTTTTCAACATACCCCAAGTCTCTATCAGCTTTCTCATAATGTTGTAACACATTTTTTGACTCTAAAAGTAAAAAATAAAAAGCATTAAGTTTCTTTGTAAACCAGTATGAGATGTGTCATGAGATCAAAAATAACACGGAAGAATTGTAAAAATTATAATATTTTCCTGGGTTCAAATTTCGAGGTTTGAGGAAATAATATTGATCTGAGGGGATTTATTTCTTGATTAGAAAATTTTTAGTTGTAATGCACATGAAATTTTACATTTCGTGGTGGTCATAAATTCCTGGGTGTCTCCATACCTCGAAAACAACGAAAATTAAACCCCACGAAAATGAGTGATTTCGCAGTAGTATAAAATTTTTGACACTGACCTGTGGGTCTGGAATGTCTGCGGCCCCTTGGACAATGGTCACCAGTAAATTGTGAAGGTTATTCATCTCTGGATATAAAGAAAACAACTTCAGATAAGACAAGAACACCTTCAAATGATTTCAATATTTTTAAACTATTTAAATAAATATTTAAATTGAGGGTCCCCCCTCCCCCTCCAAAGAACCATACCCTGTGTAAGGTGTCTAGGAATTCAAACTTGTGAAAATGTAATAGTTAAACTTCAGCTTGTTTCTTATATACAATGGATGTCTGAAGTCCCAACCACATTTTCTTCAAGTATTTTACCCTTCATATTTTGAACCCACTTGGATTTTTTTCTTGGTCCATACAATTTTGAGATAACAAGGTTTGACTCTAAGTATTTAGCACAAACTACTTATTTTAGCCCCATCCTCAGTTTGAAAATGGCATTGAAAAAAAAATCTACTTCTTCAAAAGGAAGTTTTTCACCCCCTATGTGCTCCTATTTTCATGTCTCCAGCACATTTTACCTTGGTTTTTGAGGACGTCCAGACAGTCATTAGATATAATGGTGGACAGAAATAAATAGTAACTTCTTTGTAGCATCTTCTTCTCTACGGCCGTGACCTGGTCAAGGTCGTCTGTAGGGGTCGTCAGGACCTGGAAGATGGTGCTGACTAGAGGCATGAACACTTGTTGTAGAAAGGGAACTATGGCAGACTGCAAGGTAATACAAACAAATTAAATAAAACAAGGGTGAAAATAAATTGGTTAATATAAACATTTAAAAATACATGTAGGTATGAGTTCAGTGCTATTTTATGCAGCATTGAAATTATATTTTTTCTATTCACACATTCTATACATACACTTACATAACAGTTATTACAAAATTGCTGAGTATACTTTGGAAAAGGTTGCATGCGATAAGCTCCTGTGTCCATCAGAAATTTAAACAGTAATGTAACTCATAAATGGCCACTATTTGCTTAGGTTAAAAAAGGGGGGATTTAAATCTTAAAATTCATATCTAAAAACTTGACAAAAGAGTACAACACAGGGCTTGTAAAATATACACAATGCATTAATATGAAATGATGGGGAAAATAACACATGGCATTGACTTACTTTGAATTTCATGATTAACTGGTTCATCAGAGGTAAGAAGTCGTGGAGTTCCTTGGCCTCGGGCTGTTTCAGTAGGTTCTCCAGGACGACGGGGACAAACGGGAGGATCTCCTTCTCCAGACAGACCACCATCCGGTGGAGGTACTGCCTGACCCCCATCTGTATCAGCTGACGGTGGGTGGGGACGTTCACCGCCTGGAGGAAGATCTTCAGCAGGTCCGTAAATGTCTCCACACAACCACAGGCCTGCATGGTCTGCTGACTAGAGAAGCCCTTACTCACTCGGCTGGAAACAGAATTAAGTGTAGGTTTACATGCAGATTTCACATTATTTAATGTGATTTATCAATGTGATTAAAATCAGATTCTTTGATCCGCTCACATAGATCGCTACACAAGGATCTAAAGACTGTGTGATTTATTAGATCAACATGAAATGATCAATTACCCAGTAATAATCACTGAAGACATGACAATATTCTATCCAATACCTGATAATAATAGAACTGTTTGCTCTAATTAAACGCAAAAATATGTAAAGTTAAATGTTCAGTTTTTATACAAAATGCACATATACATGATTGTAGTTACATAATTTTCTGAAAGCTGAGAGTGAATTACCTGAAGTCAAAGATACATAAGGTTCTAATTACAAATGTCCTTTTAATGAAATCTCTCTCTCAATATTACCTGGCTAATGAGGTAGCCATGTTGATACTCTGAGCGTAGGCGAACTGACGCTTTTCATCTGTCTCCACCTGAAGCTTGTTCAACAAACTCTCAAACTTACTGGCAATAGGGGATAGTAACTCTTTCATTAGATGGTGTTTTCTCTGGAAATAATGAAAATCTTTGATTATTGCCTGCCTTCTTCAAATAACCTGTGACTTGATCTGGTAAATATTTTGTTTTGCACACACACCAAAAACAAAGAAAATGGAAGTGAGGGCACTGAACATACTAAATATTGAATAGTATACATTGTGTCTCTGAGTCAGAAGTATTTACAATCTGGTAAACACAAGACACTTATCTCACCAGGCCCTAAATTAAGGGATTGTAACAATCTGCTTACAGACTTTAAAGACTTAAGATGAACCAGACCTGAATGGAGGGAATGTAACAAACCCCTTAACAATATTGGTTTTAAGACTACAAATAAACCAATGCTGACCTCTGGAGAAAGACTACTGGAGACGATAAGACTGCTGACGGTCTCGTAGATAAATAACTGGTCCTCATTGGACAGGAGATGCTGGTACCCATTGTCTGGTGTGTTGAGAACCAGTAAATCTTGAACGCGACTCAGCACTTCCTCAACATAGGGGTTCAACTGTCCCCTGTCATCACGCAAATCAAACAGAATTCGTCAGATTAGTAAACTAATAGATACTTGCATTTATATTCAAATTTTTAAAAATCTACAAATGATTTAAGATCTGAAGTGTCCCACTCACTTCAGTCCTTTGATGAACCTTGAAAACAGATAAGAAGTCCGACTTCTGACTTGAGCCGATTCATGACGAAATCCTCGTTCATCAGTGAAAGCCATCTGAAAAAAGAAAATTTCACATCAACCTTTACACTCTAAACCACCAATACTTTGAAATTCTCTTACTCTTATCTCTATATTCAAATCTAGCGCCCCCTAAAAAAACCCAAAAAAGTTCATTTACCAGTACGTCAGGAATGTGCTGAGGCTCAGCAAGGAAGAACTTTTCATATCGTGTGACGGTCTCGAAAAACTGCAGCTCCACGATCATATGACCTTGACAGCTGACTCGACTAGTGATGAGCTGGAAATAAAGCATTGACAAATTTACTCTCATTCTCTTGTAATAATTTAAGATATCCATATGCTAAAAAGTGTATATAAATGTTTGACACTTCACAAAAATGAAGACTCATTAGGGAAAAATCTATACACAATTACACATGTATCAAGACTTTCTTCCTAATCCAATTTCCACTGTGGGGAATAGATTGGGCAAATGAAAAAGAACATTTTTTTGGTATTATGATTTTAACTGCAATAACTACAAATTGAATGTAACATACCATCCTCATCATGTTTTGTAGGGGACTGGCCTTGGAAATATCAGGATTAAACTGCTGACTTTGGGAACCCTGAAACAAAGATAACAAAACTTGGTAGGAATTTCAGGCTCTGAGTCATAAAATCTAGGTAAGTAAACTGTTTTTAATTTCTGTATTATTTTTCCAATAAGAGTTTATTTTAGAAAAGTGATTTTTAGATTAAATAAAACATTAAACACTTCATATTTAAACTCAAGTATTATGAATCTATTCATTATTTTCTGCAATCAAAAACTGTCTACAACTACTGGTACTTGAAGTTACTCACTGCTGACTGTTATTTTAATAAGGGAAGAATTTTTTGTTATTTTAATTTTCAAAATCAGATTTAATACTAATAGATATTTCCTTACTGGCAGTGCCTCCCCCAGCATGTACAGCATTGTGATGGCTACCTCAATGTCACACACCTTCATAGCCTCCCACCGGGGCAGGGTCTGACTGACCAAGTTATGTATAGTCACTACCATCAACTCTGTATCCTACAGACAGACAAACATTCATTCAGACATTTTTACACCTACTGCAGTACACTTGGTTTACAGATTCTTTAAAAATATGGCAATAATTCACTGCCATACAAGTTTTTTTTGATGTGTATAAATTAATAGGTACACATGAAATGCAATATTAAATTGTTTTCTAAATTACATGTATGGAATCACATGTCTTAGAGTGAAGAAGAATTGAGCAAATTTATGTCTCCTTCCTACAATCAAAATTCATCTACAAGGTACATTAATAGCTAGTTACCAGAGCTGCCAGGTTTGTGAAGATGGTTTTCAGTTGTTTCTTGTACTCCTGAAACATGGCCTCTTCCTCTCCCTATAAAACAACAAACATGTTTACATTTACCAGTTATTGCATAGATTTCTCCAATTTTGGAATGGATAAGAATAAAATCACACAAACCTCATGGTCGAAATTGTAGGAATCATCATACTTCATCTTTTTTATCACAATATACAACAGACCCTAAAATTCAGATAGAAAGAATTAAAAGAAACTATAAAATGAGGAATACTGTATACAGGGTTATTTTCGCCCTTTCATGATTAGACTAGAAATAATTTTTCATGATGTCAAAACCTTGGAGTTCACAATAAAAACACCATATGATGAATGAATGGAGACCTTTTAAATAATCATACCTCTCAGAATTTTGTATTAATGTACAAGTTATGAAAACACATCATTTACATTTTTCATGTTACCTCGATGTGTTCTCTGTGCTTTGGAGACAGCTGCTTCAGTTGTTTCAGAACTCCGATGTATTCCTGTACAAACGCGATCACGGCCCCCGATACGTCATCATCCTCATCACCAAGGAAACGGAACATCAACGGTACCTTCTCCTCCAGAGCTGCCATGGTAACCTGGCTATTTGCCTGGTCGTCTGACTTCTGTAACCTTTAGGGAAATGGTCCTCTTAATTTTTTTAATATATAACATTTATACATGTATTAGAGAAAGTGGAAGCATTTCAACTCCATAAACCTGTCTCTATTGCAACTATGTTTTCTCTTCCTTTATAAGATGCATATATGTGTATATCGTTGATTACCAAGATAAATATATCCAATTTAATGAAGATATAACTGAGAATTAATGACTATCATGTTAAATTTTCCGTGAAAGAAAGAAGTTTTATAATTGTGTAGGCGAAATTACGGATATAGCAAAGTTATCATGGATCCCCAGCTTATAAATTCAACTATTTCCTTATACAAATATAACAAATTACGGATATAGCGAAGTAATTTCATAGGTCCACGTGAATTCGTTATAACCCAAGTTTTACTGTATCAGCATTTTGAAAAATATGCACTTCTGAAAACAAGGTGAACTTGCAGTTACATTCTCATAATAATTAAATTTACTTACTTTTGCCAGCTGATGATAAGATTGACCCCGATTCCATTGATCAGTTTAGACAGCTTGGACAAATAGTCCCCCTCCTCCTCCTAAAGAAATATCGAAAAAGAAAATATACATATAAACTGAATACACATGATGAACCACCCGAAATACTGCAAATCATTTTTTTCCATTTGTAAGAACTTTGTTTTTGCGTAATAATTTCAAATAAGCAGTACCTCTTGAGGGTTGAAGATTCCCCTGACTTGTAAGATTGAGGTGAAGGACTCGATCAGCTTTGTCTTGGCCACCGGTTCCATGCCTTTGTTTATGATGTCATGGATACAATCACACGCACTCTCCCTCAGTAGTGGCATGGACATAAACTCTAACAGCACCTGTAAACACAACACAGTTTTTGATGTCTGCCCCATTGTTGATAAGCAAATGTAATGTATACATCTCTCGATTTTTAAGAAAAATGTTCTCATGACATGATGCAATGTACATTAGGCATGACAGTGCTGTAATCTTTGAAGTCAAATAAATTTCAGCTACCACTCTAACACTTTTCTATGTTACCTACAAGTATTTATACCTAAAGGTGAACATTTAATTTATGCATGAAATCAACACAATTTTTAAGACAAAATAAAAAAAAAAATTCTTACAGGTACATGTAAGACTTAGGCCATATAAAATTGAAATCTTGGTTCTCAGGCCCGCGCGCATCCGTTTTGAGGTAGCCGCATTGCCGATTTTATTGTATTTTTGATAAAATAAAAAGTTGGTGTTGCGGAGACCAATCCGGGAAAAAAAATTCCGACCTCATTTATTTCGTAGTTTAGTATTCAAATATCACTTCCGGTAGCCATTTACAATGAGATTTTGGCTACTTCGTTTGAAAATACATTCGAGGACATTACCTACGATGTTTACACGCTGTTAAGCAATGGATAAAGCAGAAATTTTGACCAGAAATGGAAAGTATATCTGTGATTAAAAAAATTATCTTTATGTTAAAGAAAATTCGGAAATTGAAATAAAAAAAATACCTCCCTCATCTACTTTATTGCCAATAAAATGAAAAATAAAATGCCGCCCTCCCGCATCTGTTTTGGAGAAAATTGGCCTGAGAACCAAGGAATTAAATTTAGATAGCCTTACCTGTACAAATTTATCGTTGGCGATGAGATTGATGTCTATCCAGGTGACAAACTTCCCGATGACGTCCAGACACATACAGGTAACCTCAGGGTTACTGGATTGAAACTGGGTCTGAACAAACAAAATACATCATGAAATCTTCTATCAATAAAAATCAATACAGTAAAAAAGACACAGTAATACTTATTAATAAAAGAAAATGTATGAATGTTCTTTCATGTAATCTTAACTACTTGTAAAACAGTCTATTTTTCCCTTCCTCTCCTGATAAAGATGATGATTAAATCTTCTTGTTTTTTAATAAAATAAAAAGGTTTTTTAAGACTTACCAGTATAGTGTACCAAGTCTCTGTTAGTTGTACAACACTTTGTTCTCTCATCGCATCCTTAATGACAGTGTTTCTCTGGATCTCCTAAACCAAAGAATATTGCATATGAGAATGCATTATCCAAGGAGAGAAATTTTTTATTACACAATTATTTTACTTAATCTAAGTGAAATTGGATGGAATTTTCAAGGAAAAGCATTTTCTCTGTGTCATATGACGATAAGTACTAATACAATTATGCAAGAAATACTGCTTTCTGATACAGACATATACATGTTTATTTAAATGCACATCATCTTTCTTTGCATGTGATTACACACCTGATAAGCCCATGTTTATTTTCAAAACAAATGCAAATTAACAATGCATAGCATAGTACCTCAACACATTATTTTAATGCCTCCTACGTACCTCGTAAGTATGAACGATTTCCCTGTCTACCACCTCGCTGTCTATACTTAGTAACACTCGCAGGTAGATGTCCACGGCTTTGGCGCTGGGGGACAGGATACCAATCAGGTCGGTGAAGAATGAGGGCCAGCGGTGGGGGTAGTCCGTCACAAAGGCAAGGGAGGCAATCTGGGCTACTTTGTTGCGAAGAAAACTCCGGTCTTGGTTTGACTCATTTCCCTGAAGAAAAAAAACATGAAAGTCCAAAATTCAAACTTACAGTGGATTTTGTCATTAAGACTGGAAAGGATAATTAATTAAAGTTTTTGGAACTTTTGTCCAATCCCTTCTAGGTAGATTTGATATTTTTAAACAGTGTCAGAAAGACAAACTTTAGTTTTTCCTATCAACTTGCTTATTTTTCCTCTTAATGAGCTGTTTGATAAAATCAGTAATTATGTAATTTTTTCAGGAGATATCTTTATCTTGAATTAAAATTTAATATTAAAAAGCATCTCAAATAATGTTAGTTAGTCTACTTACCAATAGCTGCAGACAGGTACATATAAGGTTCCTTACATTTTGTTGTTCCTCAATGCCTGCCTCCCTGTACCTGTCCAAAAATAATAACATACTGTGAATATTTAGCTGCTGAAAACATGCAAGAAGACTTTCAAAATACCAAGAAAATATACTGCTGTATATAAGAAACACTCACTGAAAAAGTTTATTTTAATGTACTTACCCTACTTTTAGATAATGTTCAATCACTTGAAGGCAGAAAAATCTCACATGATCGTTCCTAAAAAAGAGAAAACTGCATTAAAGAAAACATACCTTGGCTACACTACATGCATTTGAAACAAGTTAATCACTGCACTTCAGAAATCATTCCATGATAATACTAGTTCATCTGAAACATTACAAGTAAATCAAAAGTTTGTAAATATGACACATGTGCATGCAATACTAGTCTTGTTTTGTCAAGGACATGTATATTTCTATGAAAATTAAATATTGTTTGAATATCCACTCCCTCCTCCATTAAGATCATCAGACAAAAAAACTCCCAGGTATTTAAGGTCAACTGAAAAATATAAACATTTTATTCTTGACTTACCCAAAGTAACTTCCATTTGTAAATGCTGCGGCACATAGCTTCCATCCATCTCCTGATGTTTTCAGTTGTTCAAAGTACTGGAGAGCCTATACAAACAAATAATAAACTTGGTAATAATCCTTAAAATAATATGCACAATTATTTTATGCCAGGTTTTTTTTACACTTTAAGTGAAGAATAACTGACTTTCAGTAACTTACGAATTCATTGGACATTTCAGACAAGATGAAAAATAAAGTGATATAAATGTACCATTAAAAAATTATATAACAAATTCTTGTAGGGATACAAGATCTTGAACTCTTTCATTAAGAATATTGGTCTGCCATAAATTTCTACAACTGCACAGAATTGAATAAGACTGAATTAGAATATTAAATGAAAACATGTACTTTATGGCCCCAGTTTACCAGTACCTACAATCAACAAAAATTAGCATGCATTGCAATTTTGATTCTTTTGAAATGTTAATTTTTATTTTTCACCACAAATACAACCTGTTTTACTTAATTGGGAATATTTCTCATTATCCTGATAACCTGGTTTTAAAAACTCCACCTTAGAAAATAAATGCCAAAAACACATATAACTGCTGATGTGACCGACATTTATGTATAAAAATAATACCTACCCTTGTCTGGAGCTGTGGGTTGGCACGAGGGTCCAACCCACGTAAAGCACCCTCATCCATCACAAAATATACAACAGGTTCTCGATAGAGAAAAAAATCTGACGTTTCTATACCATGTCTAAAGCCTGCAAAGAATGAAACAAAAATTTCAATTATCAGTATTTTGGTATCATCTTTTTTTTTCCCATTTAACAGTGTTTTTCTTTTCCTTTTTTTTTTTTAATGCATTTATTTTCATTTTATGCTGTTGCTAATTTTAGTTTATCGTTCAAACATCATTATTTCAGAGCTCCAGATAATTTTTTACCCCAAAGTTTATTTACTCCCTGATTTTCAAATCAATGCAGATTTTGATTTTCAACAAAATGATTGAAGAGTCCAGAGCTCCAGATAAGGTGCATATTTGCAGAAATACGCATTGAATTTTAAAAAATATGCATTGAAAATTAAAATAGGGCATACAATTACGCATTAGCGATTGTAGATACGCATTACACCACGAAATTACTGCGTACAACAGATTGAAAAATACAGGTGTGACTTACTTAATGATATGAATTGAGGTTAACTTTTACTTTTCTCAAAACGAAGTACAGATTTTAAAGCCTTTCAGTGACCAGGACTATTCTAGTAATGGTTACAACGATCTTCATTTCGGGAGGAAGAATCAGAGATTTAGATCAATTTTTATAAATAGAAAGACTAATATATTCACTAGGCATTTTTATTATAGGTTCATAGCCAATTTTTAATTATCTCTCTCAGCTAGCCATATTAACGAAGATTCTTTTCTCTCAGTTTACTCTTGATACAATATCTTAAATGAAGGAAAAGTTTTCTATGTCTCTGACTATGGTACGGTACATAGACCTACTGTATAAATATAAAATTCCCTGTCAAAAAAGAATCCTTCCCAATTTTAGCAAAAAGTCTTGTTGGTATTTTTCAAATTTTATTTAAATAAATGCAGGAACTGATCTTTGTAGTTTCTTCCCTCTTCAAGAACACTAATATTCGATAACAAGCCCAAAAACAAATTAAGGGTCAAAACATTTTATATAAACTAAATACTCTTCAATCATTTTGTTGAAAATCAAAATCTGCATTGATTTGAAAATCAGGGAGTAAATACACTTTGGGGTAAAAAATTATCTGGAGCTCTGAAGAGTATTTAGTTTATATAAAATGTTTTGACCCTTACTTTGTTTTCAATTCATATCATTAAGTAAGTCGCACCTGTATTCTTCAATCTGTTGTACGCAGTAATTTCGTGGTGTAATGCGTATCTACAATCGCTAATGTGTAATTGTACGGCCTATTTTTATTTTCAATGCGTAATTTTTAAAATTCAATGCGTATTTCTGCAAATACACACCTTATCTGGAGCTCTGTTATTTGAATTTTGAATTGTAAGAATATGCATGGAGTCATGCTCATGTTGAAAACCTTCAATTAAAAAAACGTTTCAATTAGATAATTCAAATTGAAATTTAACTCTTTCACAAATTCTTGGTTTTTCTACATTTAGACTTCACATTCCATGAAAAAACAAAAATGGTATTACAATGTAGAATATATAGGCCTATTACCATGATTACAAACTACTTTTTTAATCAAACAAGCAATAAAACCAGTTTATAAGTAATAGAATGACAATCACTGACCACTTTATCACAACAATGATATAAAAAAATCTCTGTTATTTCATTAATAAAAAAAATAATAGAAAAGTAAAAATTAACATATTGCGCAAAAATTACATGAACAGAGGAAACTCGAAATATAAACATAAACAGATAAACATGATACGAACCTGAATGAAGCATTACAGTGGCAATTTACTGAAATTAACTTCAACTGCTGAAAGTGGCTATGTTATAATGGTACAAATTTACTATATAAATGTCCTTTTTCAAATAGTTTCATAGAAATTCACGTTTTCACAAAAATAAAAATACGCCTCAAATCTGTGTGCAGCATGGTCCTAAATTTGCATTAACACTGAATATCTTCATCTAAACTAAATCTAAAATAAACTATCTCTCATTGATTTTATATTGGTGATGCAATACAGACAAAATTACCAAAAGATAGTTATTTACTGGATTTCCAATTTCTCTGGCCACGTTTCGTCATCCACCATAGTCGCCATGTTGATGCAGGTTTAAGACAACTCGTACTTAGAATGGAGAGAAAAAACTTTTCTTTGTTTTTTTTCTTCCCCCTGTATGAAGTACAGTGAAAACAATCTGATCCGACTCCTGTGAAATCTGTCACACTGGGAATTCTAAAGTTAAATTTCGATCCGAAAAGTTTCACTGTATTTATATATTAAATCTATTCATATAACCCATTCATCAATCATTTTATGCGAATTAATTAACTGTAGTTGACATAACTGTTACTGAACATTATTATAGTTCAAGTTTTAGAATAATATTGAAAAGTTTATATCTACTATTTTTAAAAACAGGCGCAGATTCACGATTTTCTCC